ATATATATATATATATATATATATATATTTTTCTCTTCCCTCTTGTTCTTTTCCACCAGAATCTGTAACATCTAGTTGTAACTTTATATAAATAAAATCAAAATATGGGAAATATATATGTATGTTACTTGGTAAGCTAGTTACATATGCCTCCCTAGAACAGCATAGAGACATACCTGAAAGATTTAATCATTACTTTTTCATTGCTAAGCACTGAAATGATGAAGAAAGAACTGAAGATAAGAGAACCAGAGAATAGTTTGGGTTGGAAAGGAACTTTAGGATCATCTAGTCCCAGTGCCCCCTGCCATGGGCAAGGACACCTTTCAGTAGACCTTGTGGCTCAGAGCCCCACCCAACCTGCCCTTAAACACTGCCAGGGATGGGGCAACCACAGCTTCTCTGGGCAACCTGTGCCAGGGCCTCAACACCCTCACAGTAACAAATTTCTAACATCTAATCTAGACCTGCCCTCTCCCAGTTTAAAGCCATTTCTCCTGGTGCTGTCACTACATTCCCTTGTAAAAATTCACTCTCCAGCTCTCTTGTAGGTCCCCTTCAGGTCCTGGAAGGCTGCTGAAAGGTCTCCCCAGAGCCGTCTCTTCTGATTTCCCACACAAACTGTACCATGTATACAGTTTATTTCTGCTACATTAAGAAATAGAAATAAAATAATTTTAATAATTTAAAAAAAAGAGAGGAAAAAGGCAAGGGCATTCACAACAAGAGAAATTTTTCTATGACCTACCTAAAAGTTACAGCCTGAATTTGGATCTTATTCAACTCTGATTAATTCCAAAGTATCCTCAAGGCTGAAAGTTGATCACATAATTTAGTTTTATTTTTCATGGCAGAAAACTTGAGGTAGGGTCAGCAGAGCAGAAACAATTCAGAGGATTCTGTGAAACAAGGCACTTTGTCTAGGTACCACCTCTAAAAGTTTATCCTAAATATATCTATCTGCATCCTAGCTTTTTTTATATACAGGACACTCTTTCAACCAAAACCACAGAAAAGCATTCATCTTGCTTTTAATAGCACAAAGTGCAAAAAAGAAAAACCTATGAAACCTACTTTTTGTTCTGCTGTCCACTTCTATTTTTGTTGGCTCCTGAGTTGCTGTGGCTGGAGGTAATTTCTTCCCAACACTCTGAAAAAAAATAATTATTCTTCTTTAAAATTTGCAGGTTCAGTTAAAAGTTGGACAACATAAAAAATAGTAATGGAAATACAAAATATAGGAGTAGAAAAGGGACAGTAGGCAAATTATAAATTATAATTATGTTTGTTACTGGGGATTAACTTTTTTCTAAAATTATAAAGAATTCTTAAAAATGTGATCCTCCAGTTTACCTTTACTAATGTTTACTAGCATTTTTTAATTATAACCTTTTAACACTTTCCTGAGTTTCAGGGAAGGCTCATAGAAGTTTCACTGGTAGATTGAATATTAAGCAATCGATGAAATTACTTAGGGAAAAGTGTTATTTAGTACCAAAAGTAAAGCTGAAAGAAGCAGCATGGAGGAACCCATTTGACTTCTGTTCATACAAGGAGTATTCATTTTCAGTCATGCTAGATTGAGTGTGATTTTTATATTGACAGCATCTCTCTTTCTTATTTTCTTATTTTCTTATTTCTTCTTAGCAAAAGTAACTAATTTACTGTGGACTACTATAATAAGCAATAACAGGTAAGCATAAACAGTAAACAAATACTATCTGCCCCCACCAAAATAAAATAGAATTAAATCAGTGATATCCATCTTTATGTATCTTCTCCTATTATTACATGCATGCTATCCCCTCTCTCAGACCTTGTCTCCCTATGAAGAAAGTTTTCTATCTTTAAAATCCTAGCAATGTGTAGGTGAGAAAATCAGTGTAATTGTTTCTGAAAAGCCCTAGCTGCCATTCCACATCCTTTCCTGGCAAGGTCTGCATAAACACCACAAGGCTCCTCCATGCTTTCATGACAGCCTGAGTAAAAGTTTAGAGACCAGAGAGCTAGGATCTAGTCTTGGAAGTACTGAGTACAATAAGGACCATAAGAAAACACTGGTCAATATAAGAAGCAATGGGAGTAGAGCTCTTTGAGTAAAATTCCAAGGTGTATAGAGAATACTGAGAGCTCCATGTTAATAATATGTAATAATGTGCCAAAATGTATCTATGAAAAGGACTCAAATACTGGGATTTCAGGCTGGTAAAAAGAGCACATAGGGAGGGAAGACAGTTTTGAGAGTTGTGCACAAGACAGTCATCAGATCCATGTTGACAGCAATGCAGACTATGAGTTGCAGTATCCAAAAGTATCCTGTTGCAACTTAATTTGCAGGTGGAGGCAGAAACATCTGACCTTCTGATAAGCTTATAACTCTATTCAGAATCCAGAGTTAGTGAACTTCTAAGGAAGAGAAATAAACAACAAAACTCTACAGAACCTCCCCAATTCTTTTCTGTGGTGGGAATGAAAGATAAGAAGCATTAACTGAACCAGTGATTAGGGAAGTAAAAGAGAAATAGGAGATGACAGACATCTGCAAATCACGAGAGGGTAAAATTAAGAAAAGTGCATGACTTGGTTGTACTGGAGAAGTTCAAAGTCAAGAAAGATGATGATCAATCCGAGATCCATCTGCAAAGCAGTGAAAATTGCACTAAAAAGATATAATGAAAATTTGAAGCTACCAGGCATTTGCATTTACGCAGATAAAAGTACAGAATACCTCCAAGATGAAAGCAAGACTGGGAAAGCAGCTTTGTGTTCAGAGGCAAACAGGGCAGCTCAAGATAGCTGCACATCACAGTACATACTCAGTCATGATCAAACCTTTATTCACATCTCTGCTTCATGAAATTGTTTAGGAAAATGACTAAAGCAGATACTCTAAATGGCACTGCAATTTGGCTCATAAAGACATGCTCACACTAAAGGAATATGAAAATCCTTTAAATTAGAGGAGGTTTTGTTTTTTTTAAAGATTAAATTATTATGCAAGACCAATTAATTAAAAGAAATATTTTACTATTTGCTTCACCATACATGAATCATTGATTTTATGCCATGAAACCAAACACCATATAAACCCACAACAGGCTAAAATTTAACAAGCTACAGAAGAATCATGGGCAAAAAGGAAGATATTTGTGCATCCTAGTGGAAAATCCATTATGCAAAGTAATTTCCTAGTGTATAGAAGCAGATGCGAGAGCAATACTTGAAAACATTAATTCATCTCTTCATTCAGAACAAATGCCTGTGCAGGTGATAAATCAGTATTGGGAACCAACTTGTGAACAGAAAAGGGAAGAATAATTCAAATAATTTTTATAAGGGTTGCACAGGACCCACTCCAGTGAGATGGGATACCTGAATTAGGTGTGGGACAGGGAGAGAAGACAAGTGGAACTGCTATTCTTTAATTGTGAGAGACTGTGTCGCCCTGAGAATCAGGCCTTTTGATGCTGTTTCCATAATTTCTAGCCACTTTCCCAGGAAAGTAACTATAAACATAGGTGTTTATACATTCCATTAAAGATATGGACCTCTCTCACGGCCAGTGTGGTTGGGAAGGTGGTGACTTGACTATCCAATGCCTGGTTGTTGTCAACAATCTATAAATACTGAAAAGACAGAATAAACCTTCTTCTTCTTTCATCACACTTCGAGCTGTGTCTGTGTAAATCATTTTGTGTCCAACAGTGACAGGACTGCACTCTGGGATTTCAAGGGGGTGAAACAAGTGACATGAACAGGAAAAAGGAATAAAAATTGATAAGTCATGCAAATCTGGTTTCAGGTGGACCTGAACGGCCAAGGTACTTTACTTGCCCTGTAAAGTGGTCCTAAAGGAAGAGGGGTTTTAAAAATTATTGTTTATTTATGTTTCCAATTGGTCTACATTTGTATGGAAAATGTGTCACCACTTTCTGAAAACAACTCCATGAAACATAATATAGTACTTATTTGTTCATTAGGAAACATCCTAGGTAAACTTTCCTCACTCTAAAAGACACTGAATCCTCTGTGACCTGGTAAGTCTCATGGTTCTGCTACAGCAGGCTAAAACCTCAAGTATAGCTAAGATTTGTGGGCTGGGAGTCCCAGACCAAGCATTATTGCAGCTACCAATTTTTCTGACAAGAAAACAAAAATGGGAGACAGTGATATCTCCCATATAAGCCAGAAACTTTCCTGCTGTCTCCAACTGTCCTATGTCACTTGTACTCCCATACAGGCCAAATGTCTACCAAGTTTATTAGTGGTAAAGAGAACAAAGGAAGGCAAACTTAAATTCTTGCAGATCCAATATAAATCTGCAAGACACAGACTTTTCTTTTCAAAAACAGTTACTACAGGCTATTTTGTTGTCTTCTTCAGTTGAGGGTCCAGTGCAACTTACCAAAACCTTGACCTCTAAAAAAAAGAAACATGGGAGCAAAGAACACACAATAGGTTGAAGATTTCACTATAATTCTTCTCCTCTGTTCTTCCTTTACATTAGAAGATGGTCCAAGAAGTTCTACACACATTGATCTATGTATGCTACAAAATACTGATATACAGCTCTAGCTTTGCTGTTAGTCTTTTACCTGATTCATTCCTACCTATCAGGCTCAGTATTCCTAAGAAGCAAGCACATCTTACCCCTTTGGGACACAGGCACAAAAGAAGACTTAGAACTTGAAGGACGTTTGGGAATTTAGACATTCCAAACCGAAGAACAGGATCCTCGACCCTCTCAGCAATCCCTGGCATCTCCCAGCATCAACTGTCTCACTCCATTTACCTAAATCTCTCGTGTTGTCAGTAATGTTTTCAATTAAAAGTCTAAGGCAGCATGAACCAGAATGCCCATAATGGCATCTCCCAGCACTGCCCTAAATACCAGGCTGCAGAGATGAGTGAAGTTCTGCATTTTCTCTCTAAAGCTGTATCTTGGATTCTTGGCTGCAGAATTGTTTCATCACCAGCAAGAAGGGTAGCATATCATTCTGTGCCTTTGTATCTCTAACACAGAGTACATGGAGTGGTACAGAGACACTCCTGAAGACTACTGTTTCAGTTTCCAGCTATCCTCCTCCAGCATGCTGATTATCATAAATCTCTTTTCTAGGTGGTGGCAGTGAGCCTTGTTCCACTTACATTTCTCTGTACTTGTACACTGCACTCTGACTTGCTTAGTCCTGTCACACAAGAAAAACATGGTTTTCTGTCTAGAGAGTCTAGATTGACTCTCAACACAACAGATTATCAACAAAACAGGCAGAATCCTAATCCCACTATTTCTGCAAGGTGAGCATAATTAGATTATTTAGCTGCCAGACACAAATTTTGCTAATCTCCTGACAAGCGAACCTAAAGATGAAAAGGGAAGACGTGCCCTCTTGCTGCAGAAATAGCTGATAAAAGCGTGGATAATCACTCTGATGTGGTGTTCAGATATTCAGATCTAGCAGCAACCTGGCAGTATTAATGCTTGGGTCAATGAAGCCAATGGAAGGACAGCCAGCACTAAATAACAGGTTTTGTAGGCCTTGATGGTATTTTGGTACACTGCAAATCTGTATCACTGCACACCATTTTCCTCTGATACTGAATTAACAGTGATTGCAAAAATGGTTGAGGTGGCACACAAAGCCAAGTAAATGAGGTCATGGTACAACCTGAACAGCCTCATTTTCTTTAATTTATATATTTTGTCTCAACTGCAATCCCTGTAACAACAGGGAACAACACAAGAGAAGCAGAGCACAAAAAGGACAGTATACAAGTGAGTTTTTCTCATCTAAACATACTGTGGTTGTTCTCTACAACTATCGATCTCTGGCCAGAGGGAGAAAAGTAGATCTGTGACCAAATTTCTTCCTTCAGCATATTTTAGCATTGTACTTCAGGGTTTTCTGTTGTGGTTGAAAACTGACTTGTCTATTTACTTTTGTTATCCAGGTCTAGTGTGTCTAGAACATTTCATCTGAAAATTCAAACTGAATTGTCATTTATGCACAGACAGGCCCATACAGAAGATTTTGTTACACTTTGCACCAAAGTAACATATTTATCCATTGAGGCTCCTCTGACAATATAGGCTTCTTGAAGCAATAGCTTATTTACTCAGGAATAAGGAAAAAATGATCATTTCATCAC